ACATTTTTTCAAGTGCACTCAGAACATTCACACAGATGATAAAACAGCACTTGACAAATTTTAAAATATTGAATTACATATTTCTCTCCCCATAATTAAATTAAACCAAAGACAAGAACTAAAGAGATGTAAAAAGTCACTAATTTTTGGAAAATAGACAACATATTTTTACCAACCCTACTTCAAAGAAATTATTAAAGGAAGTTAGAAAATATTTCCAACTAAATGAAAATGAAAACCGGACAGACACATCAGAGTTCAAGGGATTCAGCTAACGCTGTACGTAGAGGTAAATTTATTTCATTAAATGTTTTTATTTGGCATAAAAATGACCCAAATCAATATCTTAATATTCCACCTAAATTATAAAAAAAAATTCGACCCAAGTAATGCAAAAGAATGAAAATAATATAGATAAGAGCAGAAACCAATGAAATCGAATTTAGAAAAACATTAACTATCAATAGAAACAAAACTGGCTCTTTGAAAAGATCAGAGGAGCTAAAACATCCGCTGTTGGCCTGAGAAATTAAAATAAAAGGAGATCGTTGAGAGGCGATGGTGTGGGACATAGCTAAAAGAATAGGGAACTATAGAGAGAGAAAGGGCCACATCACAGGAGAGCTTTCAGAAAGTGCAAAAATGACAGGATATATATAATCAAACTCTTGGGAGTGCCAGAAAACCAGGAGGAAAAACTGGGATTTGGTGGAACTGGGCCTATTAGGGTCCACACAGATAGATGCCTGTGCAGGCGCATGATGAAATCCGTGTCTGAGGAAGGGCCCTCCATCACCTGTGTTTAGGGAAAGCCTAGAGTTCTGTGCTTGGGTGTGAGCACCCACCACCTTGGGGGTGGAGGACAGGAAACATAACGAGTCGGTAGGGACTTTGAGCTTAACAGTCCTCACTTTGATCAGTTTTGCCTTCCTCATGTTCATGGATCAGATTTCGTTTGAAGGCTTCCTCTGGAATGAGGAAAGGAATGTCTAATTTCGACAATGTCTACCAGTCAGATACAGTAAGCATCATAGAGACCCGGCCTCCAGGTACTCTGGCCCAAGCTGGCTTACAGTCTTGCTCTGTTTGCTATGAAAATCTTTAGTTCCCGCACAGCTGTCAGCTTTGTAAAACAGCCACACTGGATTAGAAGAGTAAATGTCTGGGTATTGATAGGTATAAGCTCAGACCTGAACAAAGGGTGTCAATAGCCAAACTTTAAAAGTGATCTAAGATATTAGATGTGAGATTGAAAGGCCATGATCACTGTATATATAATACGAGCCACAAATACACAGGCATGGATGTGTGTGTGTGTGTACATATATGTATGTGTATATATAAATTTAGGAAAACTTTTTCTTCTCACTTATTACTATATGAGTATTTTTCCCCTTTAAAGTATTACCTGGATGTATTATGGTATTATGCTTTTCTTTTTCATTGTCGCTGCCAAGTGTATTCACAGGAAAGAGAGGACATTCCACAGCATGTAGATCTCTGTCTATTGATGCAGCTTAGTCTAGTCTCTAGCCCAGTACCCTCTCCTGAGAGTCAGACCCATGGTTCCTACCACACCTTTGACCCAGACATCCCTCTCAGCTTCACCATCTACATGGCTCATGCTGGTATCTTCTGCCACAACTTTCTTCATGACTACCATAACTCGAATTGCAACCAACTCTTCTTCCCTTCTCCTCGGTCTCATCTGGAAGACTTCCGCCTAGTCAGTAATTATACGACCTCAGAATCATTATATATTATTCTATCATTTCACAGTTGCTAATTTCCTAATATTTTCTACAATCTGCCTCCTGTTCATTTTGTCACATCACAGCTTGAGTTACGTGTGTTCATTTCTTTTTGGTTTATTTCCTTGGTGTTTCTCCCTAGCATATGTTCGGTAAACCTTCCTGACTGAAAGGACAAATGAGAGAATGATGGATGGGGTGAATTAATAAGTGAATGAATGAAGGATCACATGTCTTGATTCCAAACGTGGAATGTGAGACCTACCTGGGCCTTTGAACTCCATGGAAGAAATTGAAAATGGTACAAATGGCTTCAGAATTCCCCTAGGAAACTATTACTGAGTTTGTCATTGTGGACTTCTTGCACCCAGGCCCAAGCACTGTCTTGGACTTGAGGATGCTCTCAATGTCATGACACCTGATACTTCTTGCTTTGGATTCCATATCCATCCATCAGTTTAACAAGGAAAAGTACCGTCTCCGTGGACTTCCATCCACCCTGCAACTGTCTGCACCCTTGGGCCAATCCTCTATCTGGTGGCAATGTAGACCAAAGTCCTAGCCATGGGACACCTACCCTCTAGTGTGCCAAGAGCTCAGAATCTGTGGGAGGCAGCCTGAGCCAGGGACAACACGGGGACCTGTTTCAAGGCATGTCCACACCCAGCCCTTTACCTGCAGAGTCACCGAGGTGATTAGTCCCAGGGCATTGTCCCTCCAATTCGCACCTCCTTGCAGCCGCACACTCCCTTCCCCTGCTCACCCACATAGCCCCAGCCTCCACAGAGGGGTCCACAGTGTACAGGGGAAACACATCCCAGCCTCTAACTGGCACCAAGGCAGCTCTCAGCCCTGGGACACCAGCAAGGGTGCACTGGACCACTAGACTACCCAAGAGTGCTGCTCACTCAAATGACAACAGGGAGCAGCTGTGCTCTTCCTGACAGGACTTAGGGTGGCCCTAAGGTAGGGGCTGGTGCCTGGCATGGTGCGGGGCCACTCCTCCAGTTGACCTATTTACTCAGACCTCATTGAGACGTCCAGCCAGTGATGATGATTCTGAGATCTCCCAAACCTATTCATGTAAGATGTCCCATACAACCTTCACTCCCCACTCAACACCCAGATTCCTAACCAACTCTGACAGAAGGAATTGCCATTTCTCAGAGCTCCAAAGTGCCTTGGCTCAGGGCCTTTTTACTCAACTGCTTCCATTTGGAGTCTCACCTCCTCACTCTTTTTTCTTGCTCTGTAGCTCTTAGAGGACATCCCACCATGTTCCTGATATGATTGCTGTTCCTAGCCTCTACCATTCTTTGGTTAGGGAGTGTATCCTGCTAATCCTAAGATCCCCACTACTAACATAGGACCTTCCAAGGAGCAAGTAAAAAATTGATGTTCGGTGAATAAAAAAGTCAGTGAGCAGGGACTTTCATCTGTTAAGATTTCATCTACTTTCTTGAATAGGCCAAGCAAATCCAAGTGTGTCTTTTTAATTTTCCAGAATGGTGGACTGAAAGGTATAAGCAAACTCAAGGATAAACCATCCTTTGTATTTTTCCCTCTGCTTATTGAACCCTTATACTTTACTACTTGGCTCTTTCACATTTCCAAGGAAATTTCTATTCCAATGTTACCTTGTACCAGATTCCCTAAAAGATGGGAGGTTTCCCAAATGTTTGCAAAATATTAAAACTCTTATTCTTAAACCTGGAAAACCAATAAATGTGTTACCGATGTCATTCAAAACTTAGAGTCTTTAGGGAATTAAACTGTCCATTAAAAGGGACATTTGGGGGTGCCTTCGTGGCTCAGTTGGTTGAGCATGCGACTTCAGCTCAAGTCATGATCTCGCAGTTCATGGGTTTGAGCCCTGCACCAGGCTTTGTGCTGCTAGCTCGGAGCTTGGAGCCTGCTTTGGATTCTGTGTCTCACTCTCTCTCTCTCTGTACCTCTGCCCCATTCATTCTCTCTCTCTCTCTCTCTCTCTCTCTCAAAAAT